GGATTTTCATATGAGCAAAATATTTGAAATCGTAAGGTTTTGAAAGTCGGTACAATTCAAATTTTCAGAAAGTCAAATTTTGTTTGTACTATTTTAAAAAAATATATGAATTGTAGTTATTTCATGGTATTTTCATGAACGCAATTTTTAGTTTTGATTTTAAGGAGATTCTAAAAAATCTGAAATTTTTATAGTTTTCATTTGTTTACCTACTATAAAAATGTAACAATTTTCAGACTACTCTGCAATTTTTGTATTTTTTTTTATTTTTAACAAAACCTAAAGAGATTTTTTAATCTGGTTATCTAACCATTTTTTTTATTCCTTTTACTAATTAATTTCAGATTCACATTTTTTAAATTTTTGGTTTGAATGATTTTGGCCTAAATAAAAGAGTGTTTTCTTTGTTCCTGTTTATTATAACACCAATGTAGTTATATTTACAATAAATATCTCTATGCTTTGATTTTCAATGTGTCCAACAGAATAACCAGCGAAAACAAATTTTCGTCGATATGCCAGTTATTATTAAAGCAAAAAAAATTCCCTGACTATCCTATTCCTAATTCCCCTACTCGGTACTTTCCTCCTCATCAATAATGGCACTTCGATCGCCATTTGACGATTTCCTTCTGGTCAAAGCTCCTTTAAAYTTAGTTTTCGTAGTGGAGCCCCATTTCTCCTTCACAGCTTCCGAAGACGTCATCAGGATGGAATAACTCGAATTGCCTTCACCTTCCTTGCTGTGATGGATACCATACAAGAAATAGACCAACATTCCTGTGAAAAAATTATGTAATTTTGAAAAAAAATTATAAAAACGGACCTAGAATCATCCAAACGAAAAACCGGAGCCAAGTTAGGACATTCAAATGGACCATAAACTCGATGTTGCACAAAATACTCAAAGCGGGCATTAATGGTACCATTGGTACTTTGAATCTCAACCCGGTGGTGTTCTGYTGATGGGCAATAATGACCATCAGGGATGCRACCATGATGAAGATGAAGAAACTMGCTAGAATTATAGTCCACCAAATGCCGTTCTTAAGGTCYGTCGAGGAGACTTGAAAGAGGATACAGAGGGCAGCACTGAATGTCGTATAGACAAAAACTGAAGCTGTGACCACTGAGCCGGGTTCACAGTGCCCGAAAATTGGCCCCAGCCAACTATACTGGACTCGTAAAGTGCCAACTAGGGTCACTATTTCTGATCCAGGTGTGGTTAATTCTGAGGTAGAAGCAGAAATTTCTGAGGCTGGAGTTGAGGCGGGTTTGACTGGCTCATAGGTCGGTCTGTATCTCAGAATGATGACGCAAGCACTGACTATAGTATAGGCTAGTAAAGTACCAATTGACATAAACTCGACTAGTTTCTCCAAGTCGAATAATAGGGCAATGAGGGCTGAGAATAGGCCGGAAATGACGAGGTTAGTGAGCGGAAGTTGMGTTTTCGAGTTGACGTTGCCGAGAAAACTGAAGAGGAGACCATCAACTGCCATTGCATACATGCATCTWGGGAGYGAGAATAGCGAGCCGAAAAGTGTGGTCGTCATGCCACAAATAGCCCCCAGAGAGACAACATACTTGACCCAGTGCATCCCCACGTGACTGAAAGCCTCCGGAAGGGCTGCATTGGGGTTAATCTCGTAGTAGGGCACTAGAAGAGTCAAGGCTGCTGAGACTAGAATGTACCCAAGAGTGACAACCCCCATGGAGAGTACCGTAGCCATAGGGATGGAAAATGAGGGGTTTTTGGCCTCCTCCCCCGACGTGGCGATGCTGTCGAACCCGACGAAGGCGTAGAAACACGTGGCAGCGCCGGCGATGACGCCCCCTATGCCGTAGGGGAGGAAGCCTCCACGCTGGGAGGTCCAGTTTTGCTCGTCGGCGTAGTAGAAACCGACGGAGATGACGAGGCCCATCACGGCCAGGTTGATGACAGTGAGGAGGCTGTTGACCATGGTTGAGCCTTTGACGCCGATGCCCAGGAGGAGGGCGTAGGCGATGCAGACGGTGAAGGCGAGGAAGTCGGGGTAGCGGCTGAGGAGTTGCTCGTGGAGTTCGCCGGTGAAGGAGATGGTGGTGTTGCTGATGACGCCGCCGAAGAGGGAGTCGACGTAGCCGGACCAAGCGCGAGCCACCGACGCGGCGCCGATCATGTGCTCCAGGAGGATGTTCCACCCGATGACGAAGGCCCAGAATTCGCCTTAAATTGTATAATTTTATAAAAAAAACTGAACTTTAATTTTAATCTAAAAACAACGGAAATTCATTTATTTTCAAACACAAAGTGATTCATAAAAATGAGCTTAGATTTTGCTTTTTTATAGAAATTCAATTTTAAACTTTTTAACTAATTTCAATGTTTGAAATGAGTTTTTTTTATATTCGATCCAACAATATTTTATGCACTTTTCCAACTTCTTAGACCATTATAGAAGTACAAAAAACGTCATTTGGTCTTATTTTAAATTTGTAGATCTTTTGCCAATGTAAAAAAAAATAAAAAATTGATTTCAAGATAAAAAAAGTTCTCTTACTTAAATGCTTATTGGGATTAGAAAAAAAAATGATTAATTTACCTCCCGGACGCAATACCTTGTGTCACTGTGCCGTCACGCCCACAGCCACTGTCTCTGCTCTAATCTATTATTTTCATACATAAATAAAATGTTTAAAAAATTTATTGTTCACGTTTCTACGATGTCTTCTACAATTTTTTCGATCCTTATCAAAAAAAAAAAAAAAAATTCAGCTAATAACTGACTGCATTATCACTAGTCCCCTTCCTTGTGTTGAGTATCATTTGAAAAAAAATTACAAAAAAATATCTTATTACCAATAGATTTTTTGGCACATGTCATGTACGTCTTGTCCCAAAGATTGCTATTCTGAGCTGTAATTTCTTAATTGCCAAAAAAAAACTACAACATATAGTCATATAGAAGATCGGAGTGAAAATTTTTTCAAAAATAAAATTTGCGCAAATAACAACTCTGGAATTAGTTTTACAAATTTTTGGAATTTAATCAAAATTGATTGGAATTATTTGGAATTATTAAAATTATGTTCGGATTACTGGACTTATTTGTGAATTACTGTATTTTTTTTTGAAATTACTGGGGATAATAATCTTTTGAAAATTATGTCGAATTTCTTAGAACTATCGGAATTAATTTGAAATTACAGGAATTATTTTAGAATTACGGAAATTAAGTTGGAATTACAGAAATTTGCAGTTGAGTGCAAAATATTTTGACCGTCAATGTCACACTAAAAAAATTATTCTTTTTTGTCAGAAATTTGACAATAGATTTTTCTGTCTCAAAAAGACAAAAATAGTTTAAACGTCAAATAGCTTTCCAAATAAGCTTGTCAAAAAATGACATTGACGACGAAAATTAATTTAAAATTTTACCTGCTTAGGTAAAATTATAAAAAAAATCATGAACACTACTGTTGATAATTTCTTTTGAAAATTATGTTAATTTTTGTTATCAGAATTAATTAGGAATTACAAGAATTATTTTGGAATTACGAAAAATAAGTTGAAATTACGAAAATGAAGTTGGAATTAGAGGAATTAATTTGGAGTTATAGGAATTAATCTGAAAACAATGCAACTACGATGGATTATTGAAATTATTGAATGTTTTTTGGAATTAGGTACTGGGAATTTTTTAAAATTATTAGAATTATTTTTGAAATTATCGGAAATAATTTCTTTTTAAAATTACGTTGAATTTCTTAGAACTATCAGAATTAATTTGGAATTACAAAAATCAATTTGGAATTTTAAGAATTAATCTGAAAACAGTGGAAATACAATGAATTAATAGAATAAAATATCAATGTCATTCTGAAACTCCTGATTGGTCGTAATCGCTAATTGAAAAAAAGTCAAGAATTGTTTTTTTTTCAAAATTTTGTGTTCTTAAAAACTGTAACACCCACGGGAGACCTAAAATGTCGAAATTTGCTTTTAATTATCAATCGAATGGCACAAACCCGGAGTCGATCGGAGTTACAGTTTCGGCTAGAGCGGAGTTTATAGTTTTTCGATTTTTTTTAATAAAAACATTTTAACTCGAAAACTAACGGTTTAAGACAAAAACGTTTTACACCGTCAAATTCCCCGGATGATTCTCTATGAGATTTGTTCGATTCCGGAACGCTCCGGTTGAGTAATCAAAATATTTGGTCATTAATTTGCGAGCTATAGCATAAATAACGCTGTACTACCATCTTAACCATCGACACACATAAACTCTAGTCCAACCATTGGAAAAAGTCCGAAATGACCAGCTTAACTCCGAATTTATCGCCACTAAATCCCGACTTACGACCGTCGTTAAAATTATTATCGCTTTTAATTAATGTTGATTTTTGCGAGCACTCGGTATAAATAAATAAACCGCTTCTATTTGTGTATATAAAAGAAGGCTTTGGAACGGTTTATTTGCACATACCTATGCTGATATAGGTGTAGACATAGGCAGAGCCGGCTTTAGGGACCCTCGTCCCAAATTCCGCGTAACAAAGGGCCGACAACAAACACGCCAGTCCTGCTAAAAGAAACGAGAGGATTATTCCAGGCCCGGCCATATCCTTGGCCACGGTGCCCGTCAGGACGTAAATTCCCGCCCCCACCATATGGCCCACCCCTGGAATAATTACAATTAAATAATCAAATCTTTCCCGATTTAAAATCGCAACCCAATAAGGTAATGTCGAAAGTGTTAAGGCAGCGGTTGAGAGGAGTCTCCATCACGTCGGAAGGCAGTTGTTTGGTTCGGTTCATTTTTGAACAAATTCCAGACATGACGTGTTTCAAAATCATTTTTCTCGAGCCGGGCATGATTAAGGGCTGAAAACGTCCCTGATAAGCGATACCAGTGATAAAAAGCTCGACTTACTTGATTTTGTGCAATTGTTTGTGCAATATGGTCGGGAACTGAAGGAAAATTCTTATGGGGGTTGGGAAAATGCGCACGTTGCGCGACAAATCGATCGCCGAATCCAGCGAATTTGTAAAAATAGATCGCGTGTTGACATGTGGGGGTGCAAAATAATCGAACAAACAAATTTTGATTGGTTGAGACATTTTTCTGATTTTTGGCCTAAAATTCAAGTCATTTGACCTTGCAAAAAAATTTGCAATTTTGAAATTATCCTGCGCCATCTGGTGGTTAATTAAAACAACCGCAAATTGGAGGGAAATTTAATAATTCAATTTAGTAGAATTTTTATTTATGTTCTGAAGCTTGTATAGAGAGAAAGAATATTTTTTTGACAATTTTTAGATGTCATTAACCTTCTAAATAATTTGTCAGGTACTTGTAGCTCTTAAAAAGTGCTTAAGACATCACTTCCTCATTAATATTTATAATCTCTTGTCACTAGATTTGATTTTAATTTCGAACCTTCTGTAAAGCGTTTAGAAATTGGCAAATTATGTTCATTTATTTCCTTATGTAATGTCTTTTTAACTCATCTGGTAGTTTTTTCAGATTATAAAAGCGATGAAAAGAAAGTTTTGCGACTTGTTTTATAGATTGCAAGCCCGGAAACGGCAATTACGCAATTAAAAAATAATTGATTTTTCATTACTCAGACTCAATAAATACTTTACAACATAGTTATCACTTTTTTCTTCACTTCCTTCAGGGTCGCTCATATAAATGTCAAGTTTTTATGTAAATGACGAGCACATTCCTTGTGCAGCTTTCAAAAGAAATAAAACACAAATCTACTAAAATTACTTTTTATTTCGTGTTGGAAAAATCACACACCATGCGATATTGTCCTTGGTTTGAGGAAATACAAAAATTATAAACATATCAAGATAGACGGCGCCATCTACTAGTCGGAAGCTTGAACCACTCCCGTACTTAATATCACAATCTGCGCTCGTCTCAAATTAACAATAATAAAAGTGCAAAATTTTTACACACTCAACAAAAATAAATAAACTATTTTTGAGCTAAATAACAGTGGGGAAAACAGTGCCAATCTTGAAACGCAAAAATCACTATCTCTTCCTCTTGGTCAATTTCCACGCGTAATCGTCGAGTGACTGGACGTAATTGATTTTTTTGCGGCCCCAAAGCAACCAACTGAAGCCTATGACGGCACAAATGACGGTTTCGATGTAAAACCCGTCCAGGACCGTAACGCACTTGCCTCCTTTAGTGACACACAACTAAAAAAAATTGTAAAAATTGCTTGACTCATTTTGAATTTACCTCTTTTTCGACGGAATTCCGACACGTGTTGTCCAAACTTTCCGTCCCTCCCATACACTGCTTCCACGTTAGGGGATCCACGAAGTATAGTGCCAACATAGCGGGCCAATTTCCCCCCAAATTCGTCACCGTATTCAAAAGCGTCATGTAGGTGCCCCCCACTGAACTATCGCTGATTTTGGCAAAGAAGGCCATGATTGAAACAAACATACAATAGACGCACACTTGATGCAAAGCGTAACAAATGACTAAAAACACAACGTAGAGGAAAGGCAAGCCTTGAGAGGCATCGGGGACCAAAACTGGAGTCACCCACACGAGAAAGGCGGCCACGAAACCGAACAAAAGACGGTAAGGGATGGCCTTGAGGAAAATATCAAGGGGGCGTGGACCGGTGGTGTACTTGGCGATGACGAGAGGCAGGGCAAGTTGGACGGGGATGAGGGGGATGGCCATGAGACCCAGACGCTCCTTGGGAACCCCCGCTTCGACCAGTTTCAAGGTCATGACACTATCAGTTGACGAAAAACCAATCTTGCACGTTAGTAAAATTAGGACCAAGGTCTGGATGGGGCGCAGCGCTAGGATGTCTTTGAGGCTCTTGTACGCCGTTTGGATGTCTCGATCGTGCACAACTTCGCGTTGATTGTCCCTCGACTCACTCTCCTTCTTGAAAACTGCCACTAGAGTAGTGCTCAAAACAAAAATCCACCCCCAGAAATACAAAAAGCCTTGCAAAGTCACAATCCCTGTGTCTTGGGGCTCCGCCCTCAAGTACATGTTGCAGAAACTGGGCGATTCTAGTGCCATAAACACCACGTAACTGAGGAAGAACCCCGCCGTTTGCCCCACACTGTTACACGTGGAGGCGTGCCCCACGTTGTGTTTTTTCAACATTGTTAAAGCCCACCCATCCACTGCAATGTCTTGTGTGGCGGCTAGAAAATTCAACGAGAAGAATAGCAGCGTCAGAATCTCGATGTTGGGCTCGACGGCTTCGCCCCCCAGCCATTGGTCGACGTGGCCGCTCAACAGTAGCATAAACGCGCCGATTAAATATTGGGTCGGTATAAGCCAGGTTTTCCGACGGCCGATCCGGGTGGAAAAAATCGAGTCGACCAAGGGGGCCCACAGCAATTTCAAACTAAAAGGCCAAGTTACGAAGCTGAATTCGGCCTGAAATTCAAATTTAGTGACTTTTTCGGGGTCAAAATCGACTACCTGTTGCTTGTAGCTCACTCCACGGTTTTGGAGGATCATGGGAATGGCCGAACTGAGCCCCAGGGGGATACCTTGAAGGGTGTAGAGACACAGGAGGAGAGCAATGTTTTGTTTGTCGCCTTTGAGGTTTGACGGTCGGCGGTAATGGAGGTTCTCGCCGTTTTCCATCGTGGAGGCTTGTTGAGGAGGGTTTTTCACACGCTTTCGTTCCATATTTTCCACGAAATACACTTGTTTTTTGAGGTTACGTTAAAGCCACGTCATTAATTTAACAGATGGTTACGCTGTGATTTCACAAAGCGTCAATAAAAGGTGGTCAAACACGCTTAAAAAAACATTATTTTAATGATTTCAAGGTGAAATGACATTTAAAATTCATTTTTTAATCTGCAAAAAGCCAACACTCACTCAAAATAATTTGAACTGTCAGTTACGTCATCGTCATACTACCAACCAAATTCATACCAATCTCAGGATCCAATTTTCTCTAAAATTAATTTAAATTTTGGATTTTTTTTACTTAATTTCAAAGCTTTCTAAGGTACAATTAATTATAAAAAATTTTAAAATGCGGTTTTATTGTTTTTATGTTGCATAGATTACATTTCATTAATAAAAAAATTACGTCAAAATTTCTGGTTTAGATTTAAGTTTTACATTTTTTAGGCTCGTGGAGTTATTTTCAGATAATTAACTACATAAAACTCTCGATAAAACCGTAACCACATTATTCGCATGCATTTTTGTGGTTTTATTTGTAGAGTTACATAAACTCCATTTCATCATTATAATAAAAGAAATACGTCAATTTTTGACATTTGAGAAAAAAGTGACATAATGTAAATAATCTTTATTTGTACACATATCTATCCGATCCACGCACACATTTAGAAAAACCTAAATAATAACAACACAGCGACATTAAGGAATGTTAAATTTCAATGTTTATTTCTTCAGAAATAGCTTTCATCTCTCAATCTTCGCATGAAGACAGGTTCGGCGTCTTCATCTTCAGGAAAGTATGTCGGAGTTTCCATTTCTACGCTCCTATTGGCTGCCCCTTCCTTGCAAGTCAGCCAGTATGTGTCCATGAGCCCTTTTCCCTTAACATCGACAAGCCCCCTGTGCTCAGTACGGTAGCCTCCAATCAGGTCTAGAGCCTTTTTCATGTCGAGACTAATATGAATTTTGGAGGCTTCTCCTGTCGATTCCATCCGCGACGCTGTATTGACTGTATCTCCAAAAAGACAATATCTWGGCATTTTTGAGCCCACTATTCCCGCCACGACTGGTCCTGTGTGAGCCCCCGAACGTATCTGAAGCCGTTCGGTCTTCCTATGTGGGATTTTAAACTGTTTGGAACCGGACAGAAGGTCCAAAGCCATGCTTGCAATCTCACACACGTGTTTATTACCTAAAAAAAAATAAATCACACGAGTTGCATACAAACATTTTGCTACTACCGTTAGTGACAGGTAAGCCCGAGGCGACCATGTACGAGTCGCCAATAGTCTCGACTTTGTACACATCGTAACACTCAATTCGGGCATCAAACAACCGATAAATCTTATTCAAAAAAGTCACAACCTGGAATTTTTTATTTAATTGTGTAATTAAAGTTTCCCAAGGTGTCTATACTTCCAAAGGTGTGCTCACTGCGGCGATTTCAGTGAATCCGACAATATCGCTAAAATAAATCGTAACAGAGGCGTAGTATTCAGCGGGGACTTGACGAGTCTGTTTCAATTGCGTCGCGACGCTTGGTGGTAACATTTGGAAGAGTAAAGAATCGCTCTTCTTTTTCTCGCGTTTCAATTCTTTGGCTTTTTTTGCCAAGTTGGCGGCGTAGAGTTGTATCGTGGCAACAGCGTTGTGGACTAGCCAYATTATTATTGGTGAAACGGCCAACACGACAACAAGGATGGCCACGCCTACTGCCTCCTTATTGGTGGCTTCGTATAACGCATCGGTGACGTAGTCTCTGCAAGGGTGGGGTGAATTTGGCGCAATTTTTGAATAACTAATACCTGATTGTGTGGCGTAGATAGCGTTGCAATTTGCGTAATTCGTCAGTGTAAGTTGCAATAGAGTCGAAATAGTCCAAAGCTTCAGTTATGTTAGGTTTACGTTTCTCATTACGTGTGATAATGTCGTTGCTGAAATATGTTTTATGTTTTAGGTCATTCAGAGTGWCACAAGTGTTACATACTTGAATTTTACTTTGCCATAGTCGACCATTGAATAGGTCAATTTTTTGTACTCATSTTTCATCTGAGGGACAAAATTCAACGAACTGTTGAGTAGGTCTTTAGCAATGGCGTCGTGTCTTATATAACTCGTGTGATTGGCACTTTTGAGTTCCCCTCTTCCGAAATAATTGACACCGTAGACACTCGCAATTCCTGTACTCTCAATACTCTTGAGTAAATTCTTGAACGCCAATAAATACCTTGAAAGACTTTGATTCAGATAAATTAAAACAGTCACGTGACTATCCCCACCTCCATACACCACTATTATCCGCTTCCTTGATCTGATTGGTCAAGTGTTCCAACATGGCGGCATTTACTGAAGTATACCACAACAAGACTTCAGTCATTGTACTTTCCTCTCGACTCAAAACTTTTATCCGAAACTCATCAAGTTTTTTTTGGAAGGTGTCTTTGTCCAGATGGGTCACTTGACCGTCATCTGAAGGTAGAGAGACTTCAGGCCAACTGCTCATATTTTGTAGAGCAGAATTCGTCAGATCGAAGCGCCGCGATAGGTTAGATCTTGAAAAATAAGTTGTTTGGAGTTTTTTCTAAAGTTGAAACTTACCGTAAGTTGCTGCCATTTGTGTAAACGTGAAAAGCGACTTCGGAACGCTCTAATTGCATTCTTGTCACAACTTTGCCGAGCTCTTCGGCTATAGTCACCTGAAAATTTTAGTAATTTTTGACTTAACGAATTTCTATGGAGGGGCAATGAGTCTGATTTTCGTTTTTTGTGTTTAATATTTTAATTATATTTTCGATACGGTGTTTTGGAGGGGTGCGTATGAAAGTTGACCTACCCGGTACATTTTTACAGAAAATAGTAAAAATTTCTATATATAGGGTGTTAAAAAAAGATTGCAAAATATTTAAGAGGGTAATGTTTATGTTTCTCAAGACTTTTTTTATTTGTTTTGGTCTATACTAAAGTCTGTTTTTTTTAAATGGAAATTACCAAGTCAAAATTTTGGTGAAAAAATTGGTAGCAGCTTGTCTCTGTAGCCACAAATTTTGTTTGCTCTTTGTTTTTGTACCTAGAAATTTTGTTAAAAAATTATGGTTATGTGTTCCAATTGAGATGAAGGCAAAATGTTGACTTTTATGAATCTTGTGTGCCTGTTTGCTCTTTGAAAGCGCTATAGTTGGATAACTAAGGAAAAACATCATTACCTAAGGCCTAAAGACAGAATTCAGTGCTAATAATTTTGACAGAAACACACCGCATGTAAGTACACTGTTGTGGACAAAAATGAGATTCTTGCTACAAAAACTTTGAAGAAAAAGGATGTATATACAGAATTATTTAGCAAAAGATACAAGTAGGTATTATGATTGGCAATAAATTGTAATTGATTGAAATGAGCTCAAAGTTGATGCATTTTATAAATTCTTCTTCAGCTTTAGTTTCAAAATTATTACTTTTTCAACTCATTCCTCAAAAAACGATCCACAAGACACTAATTTAATTGCGTTCTTTCTGAGGTTCTTTCTCATTCATGTTTATTTTGTATTCTTGTCAATTTTTTGCTAAAAATCAAGAATGTTTAGCAAACCTGCATTACAAATTGCGTCTACATTTTAACGGTTTTTTTTCTAATTTCCAGCTTTCGAATTATTCGTTTACAAATTTCGAAAAACTATTAGTGTACCGAATTTGTTTCTTTTTTGGTGTTTCGTCTCTAAATTTTCTTAGACGATTTTTTGTGTTGACATTTAATGACATTGTTTTCAAATTAATTCAAAAAACCGGAACTGATGCCAACTTCATTTATTAAAATTACCATTAATGAATTTACTAGTGATGCCAACGTTAAGACTGTTTGGCATTTCCATTAAAAAAAATAACTTTATCTGCAAACGTCACAAAAGTGACCACTTTTATGACTAAATGACACAGGTAAAAGTTTTACTTTTCAGACATGGAGTAAAAACACTGTTTTTACGCCTAGGCGTTTTTACTTTTACTTGACACTTACTTTGACATTTATCACTGTTGTCTCTTTCTTGTCTCTTTCGCTTTTTCAGCATTTTCTGGAGAGGTACAAGGTAGATTATCAGCATTCAACATATTGCACTATAAACTACACCAGTTATACACCAGTTAAATCAATCAACACTTTCGAAATCTCAACACAAATTCCGAAACTGACGAGTGACGTTTGTTACGATTTTATTGCAAAGCGTCCTGATTATTGAGGTGATTTACTTGATTATTGGTGTGCTTTTCGTTCCATCTGAATCGTTTGCAGATAAAATAGTATATGTTATTTGGAGTAAAAGTGAGTTTATGTGGCTCAGCTGAATCCATTTGCCTCACTCCGTTCGGCAAAATGAACGTTCAGCTTCGCCACATAAACAATCACTTTTACTCCTAATAACATAATCTACTATTATAATCTCCTAAAATATTTTACAATCTTTTTTTAACTCCCTGTATATTCCTGAATTGATGTGCCCTTATAAATTTTCTCCGTCCATTTCCGTCCAGAACCCCTATAATGTCTCTCGAGCAGATAATTAAGAAGCTATCAGCCTAAAAAAGCATTTATCTCTCTCGGAAATGAACCCGTCTTGGGTTAATTTTTTKGTTGAGATTAAAAACGATAAATCGTCGGGTCTCGAAGTCTCTAAATCCTTTCCTGTATGTGTGGAGATCTAAATCTGAATTAGTCRCGATGTCTGTTACAAGGTTTAAATAGGYCATTCGTGCTAATCCATGATAAAGCTAAAACCCGAAAGATCAGCGTTGACTGGCGGTAATTGGCGCCGAGGCAACCTAATGAAAAACCTATTACCAATTTATTATCCCGAATTGATTAATACCAGCTATCGAATGGTTATGACCGGTTTCCTAACATCGCTTCCGTTAGGTTGGTATCAATGTATCAATCATCCGATCGTTTTACACTGTCCCCAACACAATAAAAAACAAACAGTAGAAAAACACATATTGACACAAAGAGGAACGGCGTGGCTTCGCCTCTTCTCTTAATTCATCAAGGTGATTAAACACGCCGACATATTTGCTTGCATGTAATTCATTRCCTAAGCCACCTTGTATGAAACACAACGGCGTTCAATTACGAAAAGATTAACACAGATAAAGCCTACTTGATAACTRTCATTCGACGATTGTAATAACTGGGGCGTCGCGACGCGCCAATTTTTAATCGACGGAGACAAATTTTCATCAACCAAACACCAAATTTGTTTTATTTGATCATAAAGCGTGTGCGGCTCATTAGGGTGCTTTTCTTCCGCACGTGTCACGTGGCCTGATTTCACTTGAAACATTTTACCAAATTAGACCTTTCAAGAAAAAAAGAAAAACTGAATTACAATTAGGCAAAATTCCTCATATCACGTTCATACCCATGTGTTACACCATGAAACATAAATAAAAGTCATTATTTAAATTGTTCCTACTATCTATGCTAATTTTTGTCATAAAAAAAAAATTAAAAATTGAAAGAATTATAATGTATTATGAAATATTGTAAAAAAAATCAAGCAAAAAAAATTAAAAATGAAGGGTTGTTAATTACAACAAAAAAATAAAATAAAAAAAGTAATAATTTGTCAGATAAAAATGTGTCTGTTATTATTTTCATGGATTAAGAATCAGACAAAAATTTGTTATAGCATTCTTTACTCTTATTAAATTAAAAATAGACTGCAATGTTCAAATTAAAATGACATAAAAAAACGTATGTCAAGACAGAAATTTGTTGAAACAAATAAAGTAAAATATCTTTTAGCAATAGAAAAATAATACAAAACATCACTGAAAACTCAAAAATTTTAAATGTAAAAAATAATAAACAAATAATAAAAAAATACTAACGAAAAAATTTACTGCTTTACAGCGTAAAATTATATTACACAAAAACTAAAAAATAAAACAAAAATTTGTTCATGAAGTAAGATTACATTATTTAAATTTTGATTTATAACATATCATAAAATTTTGTAATAAAAAAAGTAAAATTACAAGAGAATAAATAGTAGATTACATATCGAAGTGGAAAGTGTTTCATTTCTTGCGTCGAGACAGAAATGAAACTTTCCACCGACGTTTGCATACAATTTTATTCACAAACGCACTGTTCATTTTTGCAAAAAAAGTAAAAAAACGTTCAAAAAGTTTGATTTGTCAATCGTGTCAACTGTTTTCATCGTCATGGCAACAAACATTATAATTGATGCCTTTAATTGTGACAAAGTGGACTAAAAAATCAGGGTAGTCATAGAGGTAAATAATAAAATAGAGGTAGGTAATAAGAGGTCAGTAATGAGTCACTTTTAAACCTCTTATATGGTTGTGAATAAAAAATATTACGAAYTAATAAAACCTTAAAATCCGAAAATAAAACTCAAAAAGTAACTAGGAACAATTTAAATGGCCAAATTTTTGTCCTAAAATATTATAAAAAGAAATAAAAAAAGAAATTGTGCAAAAATTATGTTTAAATGAAATCTTGGTATAGAGCCTGTAATAAAAAAATAAAGGTAAAATATGATAATTTTATTATGATTTAAAATATCATACAAATTTTTTTATTCTTCGATACTGTCAAAATTTACGGTTTTTCTCCCGTGTAAGGTAGTTTTGACAACTGTTTGGCATTTCTCAATACGAAATTATTTTTGACAGATTTAAATCAAGTTTAAGCCTTGTTGAGTCTAATTTGAATAATTGTATTCAACTGTTTGAGTGTAAATCGGACGCTTTATTCCACCTCATGGATGATAAACCACTCGTTACTCTCGTGGTTTAATAATCCACTCGGTGCAATAATTGTTGTATGTAAATAACTATTAAAGTAATGTCTCAAAAATAACGTTTTTAGTCTAAATTAACACAAACTTATTGCAGTTATTGTAAAATACTGTAACAAAAAACCTGAATATTCTAGCATGAGAAAAAAAAACAAAAGAATTAAAGTTCAAAAATTGTAAATATAAAATATACATACTAAGTGAATAAAAAGTATGGAACCAAACGTTTTTTGCTTAAACTATTCATTTAAAAAAAAATAATTCATGAGTGATAAAGTACTATAAAAATGTGATGTTTTAACAAGAATAACATTTTTCAAAATTTCCTTTTGTTTTTGAGTTCTACAAAAAAATTATTTTTTTAAATGGCAACCCACTATAAAATCATTTTTCGCATAAAAGCTATACTCTAAGAATTACAATTATATACTTTATGTTTAATTTTTTTACATAAATTGCAATTTTGACAAAAAAAATCGCGTAACTCAAAAACAAAACAAAATTTCGTTCTGAAAATACGATCACATTTTTTATATTATTTTAATCTATATTAATTATTACTTTCTGGAGGCAAATGATTAAAAATAAAACCGCTTGGTTCCATACTTTATATTCACCCTGTATAAGCAATTGTTCATTGCAGTCATAATTCATCTGGTAATACTTTTAAATTTAAATATTACAAAAAAACAACAGAGAAAACCGCAAATTTTTAGAAAAAAAATATTTGTATAAAATTTTATTAAATTATGGAATAGGTATGTATTTTTTAACAAAAAATAAAAATGTGTAATACTGAAAGATAAAATATAATATTAAAAAATTAAAACAAAATATAATATTTTATCACGCCTTAAAATATCAGTAGCGAATCAAAATTTAGACAAACATTTGCTCATAGCCCGTCCATATAAATTTGTTACATTGTGACATAACCTATCAAGAAAATAGAAAAAAATACTGTAATTGGTGCTAAAAGTGCCAAACCACAAGCGTATCTTGTAATCTTGCAATGTTTTCTCTTTTGTTTAGGAGAAGAAAAATTGTGGGATACAACTCGTAGCACAACAGTCTCGATGTTTAAATATTTATAGAGCTGCTATATTGTACAGGGTGCTGCATTTTGGATGTCTGAATAGGGAATTTCCGAAACTAAGAGGTTTAGCCAAAAACGAGTAATACATTCTGGGGCTCATTTTTTGAGAAAATAATATTGGTTAAAACCGCATCCCGCTATCGTATTTTGTTTTCGACTTATAGACAAAAATTGACATTTTAGCGAAATCTAAAAAAAATCATATCTTCGTTATTATAGAAGACACAGATTTGAAATAAAGACATTATTGAGGCACTTTTTTACGTAGAATTTAATAATGTTGTTAACATTTTTTTTCAGTTGTTTGTTTAGCCGTAATAAAATAAACTCGTATTTTTTTAAATGGGTATCATAGATGACTATGTCATTTTTAAAAAGCTTGTTTTTTTCGTATCTAAATATCTATATTTTTATTTCTATTCTATATATATTCTATATATTCTATATTCTATATATTTGTAACAAATTATTATTATACATTTTTAGCAAAAAATTTTTGTTCGCAGTTGGCCATGAAAAAATGTTGCATCTTCAACTAAAAGGATTTAAACTATATTATATTCAACCAGTGTCACTAATGAAAGAGTTTTCTAAGTACTAAGTAATGAAAAAGATGCAAAATAAATTGTAAATCGACTTATTGGCGACTAATAACATTTCTTTGTTTTTAAACAATCTAACATTTCCATTGTAACTTCTAGTATTACATAGAGTGTTGTAAAAAAAGCCGCTTTAAATCTTCAATAAAATATATTTTATATGACACAAAAATGACGATATGGCTATTCAAATACCCAAATTCCGTCTATGTGAAACGTTGTTCTACCTCCATTAGATCATCAAAAAAATGTTTTTTGTAATTGTGTTGACTGTTGACACATTTGTTTGTCCTATTTTTGGATTTTTTAAAAATATGTAATAATTTTGTTCTGAGGCGCTCGCATATTTGTTCAATGCTTCTACCGTATCGTATTTTTTAAATCTTTATAATTTTATCTATTTTTTCATCTATTTTACAGTTCACAAAACTCTTATTGATTATTATTTACACATTTGGAGTGAAATAGTTTTTCCATTATCACACAAAACATGTATTTCACTTTTTAAGTATAGTTATAAAAAAATATTTTGTTACAAATATATATTTTTTAGATCAGAAAAAAATAAGCTTTTCAAAATTGCCATAGCCGTCTATGATTTCTATTTAAAAAAATACAAGTTTATCTTATTACGGCTAAACTAATAACTGAAAAAAATTGTTAATTACATTATTAAATTCCTCGTAAAAAGTGCCTGTATAATGTCTTTATTTCAAATCCGTATGTTCTATAATAACGAAGATATATATTTTTTTTGGATTTRGCCAAAACAGGGCCGTACCCAAGGGGGGGTTTAGGGGGTTCAAACCCCCCCCCCCCGAAATGCTGAGCACTTTGTTATATAGTGTTATAAGTGTTAAAAATTTAGTTTTTTTGTTATTTTAATGAGTTAATTTTAAATTTTTAATTTTTAATTTTTCATGTGTTAATTATACAGTGTTTCATTTTTATTGTTAGGTACAAATTTAAATAGTCAATAGAATATTTAATTTTAAGATAAAAATGTTTTGAAAAATGCTATGAAAAGGAGCTACACCCTCCTAAAAAAGGTACGTTTTTTAAAGGGTTTTTCCTAATATTTCAGAATAGATAAAATTACAAAATTTTGTACTTTTATATGTACACCCAAACAAATGCCAAATAACAAAAATTTTAATCAGGGGCGTCCTAAACGGTAAAGCAAATTTAATTTTTAATTTTTATGCTGTTTATGGTCTGTAACATAAATTTTTGAACCGATTTTTACTAAAAATCCGTAAATTGTATCGGAAAAACACAAAAGACCTTTTTTATGAAAACTATGAAATTTTGTTGCTGAAAGTGGCAAGAAACCACAGGCAAAATAGTTAGAGTAAATTTTTACCCTAATCCCATCTAGTTTAGGAAACACCTAATTAAAAATTTCAACATTTTATTTTTGTACTTGTTTAGGTGTATAAAAGTTATCATCTGTAGCAAATTTTGAATTTTTTTTTCTAAAATGATTTCGGAAATATTGAAAAAAACCTATTAAAAGACGCACCCCTTGCGTAGCATTTTTCGATATATGTTCATAGAAAATTTTTGTTTTAAAAATGAATATTCATCTCCTGTTTAAATTTGTAACAATAAAAAGTATTAAAAATTTATTTTATTTTTTGTTACTTTTGTGAGTTAATTTGTATTTTTTTTATGTTTAATTAGGATCTCTTATTTCATTTTAAAATAAAAACGTGTACTTAGAGATTTTTGCTTTTTAATCCGTCTTCTTTAATTTCATTTTCATGGACCAACAAGAAACCCCCCCCCCCCGAAATAAAATCCTGGTTACGGCCCTGCGCCAAAATGTCAACTTTTGTCTGTAAGTTGAAAACAAAAGACAATAGCGGGATGCGGTTTTAACCAATATTATTTTCTCAAAAAATGAGCCCCAGAATGTATCACTCGTTTTTGGCTAAACCTCTTAGTTTCGGAGATTCCCTATTCGGACATCCAAAATGCAGCACCCTGTACATTTACAACAATTTTCAATCTGTTTTGAGTACTTAATTTTACTTTGAAAGTGTCTTTTTTTATCTAAACCTTTACGTGTCCCAATTCCGGTCTCTTCATCTCCAAATCAGGCCAACAATGGCTTCAAGTTCGAACTCCTGAAATTTGCATCTGAACAAAAATTCAATTTATTTCCTCCAACAAAGCCGGAACGAAAAGATTACGCCAAAGACTTGTCTGCTATAAATTTCTCATTGTAAAACCTCCCAAGCATATTTATCTAAGCCGACATGGGGCGAAATGAGACGTCAGTCACCTGGTTTTCAATATCCATGACTTCTTGTCGATAGACCATGATGTTGTTGAGTATGACGGCTGTTTGTACAATCAGGGCCATGATGGGGATGAAGGGCAAGACGAGCATTTGCAAAAGGTGCAATTTGCGCCCTTTGCCATCGGCGGGGTTGGCCGATTTGGCACAGCAGTAGCCACGAGGGGCTTGGGAGACGTCCTCCGAGCTGAGGGAGCGCAAGGAGGCGTCGTCGCCCTGCGACACGTTGTTGGAGTTCTGCTTCGACATTGTCGCACTGGAAAACAAAGAGTTTCACAAAATGATAAATAGTTTTTTCGCGGAAAAGCCCCGGTTATTAATTGGAAATTTCACACGTGGCTGAGGGTGGTTTTAAAGTAATTAACATGTCAGCGTCCATTATTTTGAATGATAATTGGAATTCTTTCATCGGGGTTTTTCACCCGGAACGTTTAATTAGCTGATTAGTAATAAGAGTAGACGTGTCATGCGGATTATTTTTTTCGGGAGAGACTCGAATTTCATTCACTTCACGGAATGCCAATTATTTCACGCAAATATTTATAAACTTTTTGATAAAAGCGGCGATAAATCAATTTTTCAGCGACGTGCCGACTGGATTTAAATAAGATTTATTGGGGGCACAAAGTGGTTTTGCTGAAATGAGCCGCATAAAAAGATTCACACTCGAAACAAAACAAGTTTCATTAAAACATTATCATGCATCGATTTTCGCAATTACATCTTTGAATAACTTTGATATATTTGCGTTCGCAAACAGACGTAACGAAGACAATTTTGCATAAAAGACTTATGAATTATTTATTTCGTGGGGTTGCACATCGAGACTCAAAGTGGATAGGTATTCAGTTTTTCAGTAAATTTTTGCGTTGTTTTGCTTTCAGAATAGCTTTTTGTTTACTCTTTAGCCCAAGGAAATTTACCTAAAAATTTTCAGAAGTACATACTAATTTCAGTACTGAAGGAATCATTTTTAAATTCATGAGACTGCGCCATTACGCCTCTGGCCAGTGTCTACTCTTTACTTTGAAAAAATTTTTTTTTCTTTTCTATAATGTTTCATGTATTTCTTTAAAGAAATTCAAAACCTAGCCCGAATAATGTTTTATGCTTAAAAATCTACAACTTTCACTGCGCTATCACGCCTCTAGACGATGTCTTTGTTCCAATATAATGTATTCATTCAGACATAAAACGTTTGTACAGTGCATTGGAATCAATTTTAAACTTTACAATTTTTTTGATTTTTGTTGAAATTCGATTGTTTTTACAATTCGCTACTCACATTCAAAACACAAAAGAATTGTTATGCATTTTCTGAGTTTTTTGAAATAAACTCCTCCACGAACAAATTTTATTCTTTTAGGCATTGTAGAATACAGCAAAAACAAAAAAGTAAAAAAATATCTGCTTTTATCTCACAATTTATTAATTTAATTAATTATTGTAATTATTGCACACTTCCTTAACTTTTGTGGAACAGATTAATATAAGTGTAAAAAACGTTATTTTGGATAAAATACTTTAAGATTATTTATTTTTTGGGCTTAGATATCAAGTGTTTTGTATTTCAGTAAAATTTTGGGTTGTTTTGCTTTAAAAATATTTTTTTTACTCTTTAGCGTCAAAAAAACTACAATTTTTAGAAGTCTTTGAAAAAGTCAGTATAGCTAAAAAAGAAATATGTTTCAAGCACTGAAATTTTTATGAAAGCAGTTTTCATATTCAAAACTTAAACTTTATGTTACTGCGCTATTACGCCTCCAACCAGTGTCTTTGCTCTAATTTCATGAATTCATTTATACAGTGAGCGGGAAAATTATGGAATAATCTTATTGAAAACATTTTGTTATTTTATTTTGGCAACAATGCTCAAACAGGTCAATTTTCTTTTCAAAAAATGCACAATTTTCAACTTGATTTGTTGATACTAAAACTTACGTTTATTACTTTTTAAATTTCGACAATTAAATTCGAATTAGTTTAAAAAATTAGGGGTTTTTATTGAAAAAAATGTCGATAACGTTATCACTCAAAAACCAAAAAGTGTATAATTTTATATCAAAAAACGAATTGTGTATTTTTCAAAAACCTGTTTGAACATTTTTGCCAAAACAAAATACATTCAGTTTTAATAAAATTATTCCATAATTTTGCCGCTCAGTGTATATAAAATTTTGAAAAACGTATTTTTTGCGTTTTTACACCGTTTTATGCGCTTTTGGCGAAAATTAATATTTAGCTTGAAAAATGTTTTGGCCTTAAAAATCTGCAACTTTTAGAAGTTTTTGAAAAAATCAATAAAGCACATATTTCAGTACTGAATTTTTTGTTGAAGCAAGTTCCACATTTAAACCTTATGTCACTGCGCCATCACGCTCTCAGCCAGTGTCTCTGTTCTAATCCAGTGGATTTATTTGTAAATAAAAATTTTAGAAAATTATTTTTTGCGTTTCTACAACGTTTTATATACTTCTCTTCAACTCTTTGGAATGAATTCAGATCAAATTTATAGTCTTAAATTTTTTTGCTTTCTCAAAATCGTCTTAATTCACTTTTCTGACTTTCTAGAACTAACGTCATTTGATCCAATTTTATAATTTTATGAAAAACTGAGTTATTTACATGTTGTGTATTTACAAACTCAAGAACTCAAGAACATTTTTTTACATCCGATCCAATAACGTTTTACGTATTTTTCTGATAAAGTCATTTTTTCCTACATCGCGGCTCAAATTCGTCAGAATTTTTATTTGCGTTGTCATTTCACCCATAAAACGAAAAATTATGAAAATGCGCTTATAACCCTGCCACCATAAACTTGTGTACAATAAAATTTATGAATATAACTCGCCATTACATAAAATGAATATTAGCACCACTCGAAGAAAATTTCTCAGTTAAAAACCCTCTTGTGAGATTTATTCAAAGTCGGTTATAAAATAATTTCACAATAAAGTTAATCCACTCTTTGAAACTTTCAATTTGGATTTAAAATTGTAATTAAGTCAAGAGAGCAAAAAAAACCGTCTCGAATTCGTTCAAATAATCAACCACTTGACTAGAATTTTAATTAAAATTAAGTGTATCATCAACACGCACATTTTTGTTTTTCGCAAACTTCCAAAACCGCGACGAAAAATTTCGCCAAGTTAAGCCGTTCAGAGTTAATTTACTAATTAGATTCACGCCATCGCCTAGGCAATCTAATTTTCGCACCAACAATAAGGCCAGTAATTAAATTGTTCCGCAATTAAGACGATACAAGCAAAGAAGGACGTCAAGCACACAAATCAATCATAATCAGAGGTGGAGAAATACACGATCAATTTTATTGCTTTCTTCTCCATCGCGAGATTCCGAAACTTTGTGCCAAATTTATTTTTACACTGGCGGATTAAATTCGGATCATTTGTTTTTTCCAACGCGTGTTTTCGACCTTAATAAAAATACAAATAAATCGATCTGGGACGAAAATGGGGTCCCAGGAAATGATAAATAAAAGAAAGATGCTTTTTCGCAAGCAATTAATTATTTAAACAACAAGGTCGTAATTATGTGGGCGAAAGTAATTTAACGGTTTCTATGCCAAAATATTAAACTTGGAACATTTACAACTCTCTCATTATTTGTGTAATGTAATCAGGTTTAAAATTAAATTACAAAACACCAAAACAAATTGGATTAGTTCGGAAAGGAGAAGATTTATTAATCGAAAAGTGAGACATTAAAATTTTAGTGTCTGAAACTGAAATTAAACTTTTCTGCTGAAGTAGCACAGTTGTTTTTTCCGGATTATTTCCACTCTTTGCCCTTATTGACATCGAGCAACTCAATTGGCTCCAAACTTTTTCTAGATTACGAGTTTTTATTTTTTTTTATAAGTTAAATTGGAATAACAACTGAAAACTCAACCCATTTTGGAGATAATCGCATTTGTTGATATTTATTTGAATTGTACTTGGGTTACCAGAGCCATAAACACGTTTTTACCGACTTTTAATTTTAATTGTTGCCTGAAACGACTATTTTACGAGCTTTTGAGTAAAATTAGCTGAAGTGTCGCAGTAAATCTTGAGTTTTTTTTTAAGTTGGAAATTTAATTTAATTATTTTTGACCTAGTGTGTTTTTATCGTAAGAAAAATCGCCCCTTTTGTGGCTTGCTTGATTAAATGAAATTCTCTCTCGATTTAATGAATTATCAAGGCCTCATTTATTTATAATCTCATGTCGTTGCCAACCAAGAAATACTTACCATCGACGAATTTCGAAAAATAGTGTCGACACTTAATTTTGAAAAATTTTCATGGGTAACATGATTTATGTGTAGTGTCCGCGTACGAAAAGGCGGCCTTGGAACGCGTCCGTCTTTACGACGCTTTCAGACGCTACTGAAACTGAAAGATGTCCAAAGCGTCACTTTTCAGCGCAACATTTGTGCTACAAGGGAGTTTATTGGGCTTCGAATGGTCAGCAGTTGCTAATGTACGCGATTATAGTTGTTATCGGGAGAGAATTAGTTATCACTTTAATTAAATTTTTCAGTCGTAGGGATGTTTTTTTGAGGGTGTTTTAAGGAAAAAAGAAATAAAAGAGGGACGAAAGTTTTATAGCGTCGTTTAGGCGCTCGTAAAAGCAAAAAAACTCTGATTTGGACAATGATTATTGTTGTATTTTTATACAAGGTGATTCAAGTTTTACATGCACCCCTAAAACTAAGTTTTTTAAAAGTATTTTTGATTTTTAACTGTTTGACCGGTTTTCGATGTTTCATTCACAAACGTCACAAAAATGATTACTTTTATGACTAAATGACACAAGTAAAAGTTTCACTTTTCAGCCATGGAGTAAAAATTCTATTTTTGCAACTAAGCGTTTTTATTTGAAATTTACCAATGTTATCTCTTTCTTCTTCTTATCTCTTTTGCTGTTTTAACAATTTCTGGAGAGGTACATTGTAGATCATTAGCATTCGACATTTTGCACTACTTACTGCACTAGTCATCCACTAGTTAAATTATTAAACACTTTTGGAAATTGCAACACAAATTCCGATACTGACGCGTGATGTTTGTTTATAAGCATCGTTGTTATGATTTCATTACTTGCAAGCGTGCTGTTTATTTTGTTCATTTACTTGCTAATTATTGTGTTGCTCTTTACTCTCGATCTGAATACGTTTGCGGATAAAATAATATATGTTATTTGGAGTAAAAGTGAGTTTAAGTTGAATTATTTGCACAATGTACTATTGTTTGTCAATTTTTTGATGAGAAAAATTTGTCTTTTTATCTTGTGCTATAGCAAAAATGTTGACAATAAAAACGAGTCTGATCTAAAGATATCCTTAGATCCTTTCATACTTATCTACAAATGTACTCAACTCGTTAAAAAAGATTTTTATCGGTTATCAGTAAACAGATTTGCGACCTTGAAACCTCCTCAACCCTTTCGCTACCAAAATAAAACAAATTTTAATCTATTAAATTTTTTTTTCCTTATTTTTAATTGATTTGATCACAAGCAGTCAATCCTTCCCCCACGCAAGACGCGTACTCCATCAAATGTGGGATAACATTTTGTTCCAAGACGCCACTAAAAAGGTGGGCCCATGGTCCTCGTGCGAAAACTGCAACGTCATCGCCGCCGTGTGTTTCAGAACTTAAGGGAGCAACGGCTGGGAATGAGTA